AAAAATAATTAAAGATAATGTAATTGGGTAGCTTATAGGGACGACCTATAGTTTTGCATGTGAGATGACTTCTCGTGGTGGTAATTGGTTTAGAAAGAAACAATGAAGACAGATTTTATGGGATCTTTATATTGATGATAAGACAGAAAACTAAACTGTTTCTGTTTTGCTGTGTATAAAGCTTCTTTATATTAACTAGGGATTTTGTCCTTAGAAAGTGAAAAAATATTTGCTACTAAGACTATGGATATCTAGGAAGTTCACTTATTTCTTATCCCAAGTAATATTATTGCAGGTACCTGAATATTGAAACTCTCCATTATTTTCATAATTTTTTTCCTTCATTATGAACTAATTGTTGGTATGAGGTTGCTATTAAAAGCAATAAAGCTGATCTTGTAACCCACTTACCTACTATTATATTAGGATAAGTTCGAGAGAAGAATTGGGTCAGTTTTGTATGCCCAACTTTGTAATTTTTTTCTCCTTGGACATGCTATACTTTGACTACTCCTGAGATATAATGTGAACATTTTGTTACGGTGGCAAGCTGAGTGAGAGATATTCTTCTATATCATTAGAACAAATCAACGAAGGCATAACGTGCCATTGGGGGTGGCAAAAGCACGTCATACTATGTGATGGAAGGCAAGGTAGTTGTTAGTCCCCTTTTTTCTGCTTTAAGAAAAATATAGAACTATATTGATACATATATGATCGTTGACTTTGTTTTCGTGTAAATGATTTATTTTCTATATACGATTTCATTGATTTGCAATACCATCAACTGACAACAAGTTCTTTAGGTTAATGGGGTAAGGTTCATGTTGAGACTAGACAAGTTCTCTTTTGGATAACCTTTAGTGTGCAGAAGGAATTGGGTCTTTCCTTTAGCAGACACGCTAAGGATTCTCGGTGTCAATCTGTGCATCATTTAAATATGAAATTTCAATCATACCCAGATTATCGCCCTACCTAGCTAGTAAATCAAACTCCAATGAATAAGGATCCAATCATCTATGTCTGAGTTTAGCATTTGGGTTTTGAGATGTTATACAGTCAATTAAGGGGATGGATCTAATCCAATAAAAAAAAGGTTTCCTTTAGGAAAATAAATTAGAAAAATAGGATTCAAAAGGCAGGTACAATAAAAATTTCGTAATCCAGGTCCTTCCCTTTTTATTCTTCTTTTATGCGAGTTGCAGTCCTTTATGTAAACCTCATAATTAGAGGCAAGGGAAATCTATTGATCAAGCCAACTAGTTTACCTAGATGTAATTTCTTTCCTTTAAATTTTAGATGAAATCATAGTCTTTTATATTGCCCCATGACTTCCATTCAATCTGAGATTTAACCTTGGTAAAACACAGTTCCAATCTTTCTTCTTGGTGTCTTCTCTTTTTTCCAGACTATGCTTAAGTTTGTTAGGCATCCGCATTGCATTAATGCCTTCTAACAAGCCTTTGGTAGGATAAAATTATCGGCCAAAGGCAATTACATTTTGTTGCTAAAATAAATATGCTCTTGTGACAAATTGATTGGAGTTCAAACAATTAGGTAGCTTTTACTTAAACACAAACAACTTGTTCTTATTTCTTTGCTTCGTTCTTGAAACCTACCGCAAAAATGGTTGGTTTTCCTAATTTTTCACGCTCTTGCTACAGTTGAATGATCCTCTTTGAATAATTTTCCAACCCAAGGGTAGCTGTAATTTCTCAAAGCTATTTATAACATTGTAATATTGCGGCCAAGGTGGTCGAAGAGTAGAGTTTTGGTGGTCGAAAAGTGGTGACTCTAATACTTTCGACCATTTTTTGTATTTGGTCATCCCATTTTGGCTTGAATTTTCGACCAAATCAGTTGGTGTTATGGCCAGAGTTTGGGTGGGTTGCGAAGAGGGAAGTGAGGACTTCAAGGTGATATGTCGATCCGACGACCAAGGTGGCCGGAGGGTGGATTTTGGTGGTCCATAAATGGTGACTCTAAGGTGATTTAGGGGTTGGAAAGTTCAGCGACTTCTAGAAAATTTTTTGTAAAGTTCAATGACTATTTAGGTGATTTTTAAAGTTCAGTGACTTTAAAAAACTTTTTGTAAAGTTTAGTGATCATTTGGGTAATTTTTAAAGTTCAGTGATCCCTTGAAAATCTTTTACAAAATTCAATGACTTTTGGCGTAATTAACCCAAATCTTGGATTTGATAGTTGAAATTTGCTATTTTTACACTGATTTATGACGTTTGCATTATTATCAAGTGTCAATTAGATAAAAAATTATTTGAAATTTAAACTATTCAATAAAATAGGGGTACCTGATAAAGTGTAAATTAAAGTGCATATTCATCAAGGTTGTTTGATAGTTAACGCTTGGTATACCCTCTTTTGGTGAATTCTAAACAATCCAAAATTGGTGCCAAAATAACGAAGTGCCGCCCAAAATCAATCAAAATCTGTGGAAAATACTGCCAAAAGGCCCTAATAGGTTGTGTGAATTCTAGAGGCGTTAAAGAAAAGATTCTTGATTGACTCGCTAGCAATCCTATTGTTGACCCATACGGGTCTAATGGTAGAAAATGCGTCTTAGAGATGCTTGGTAGGTGTTTGAGAAAATGGATGAGAGATATGTGATTTTATTTAAACGGTTTGTTGGTGGGTACGCTAGAAGTCGGCATCGCGACGATGGTTGAATGATCCTCTTTGAATAATTTTCCAACCCAAGGGTAGCTGTAATTTCTCAAAGCTATTTATAACATTGTAATATTCTTGTTCACACGAAAAAGAAAATGTTGTTTGTTTGGTTGTAGGATGTAAAATACGTCGGTAGGAGAGAGATATGTGATTTTATTTAAACGGTTTGTTGGTGGGTACGCTAGAAGTCGGCATCGCGACGAGACACTACAGTTGTATGGGAAGATGCCGTGGGTTGGTTGGCGTGGGAAATGACCTGATGAGTATACTTCCCCTCATATTTTCAACAGTTGCGGCGGTTTGTGGCCTGTGGGATCCGGAGAGGGAATTCATGGTCATTTGATAATGTTTGAATTCGTTGTTGTAATTTGTAAATGCTTTAATCCTTATTTTTGCCAAGCGGCATCTTGGGCGTGCGAGGATGGTGTGCAGTGGGATGTTTTAGGATCTCGTAGAAAATGATGATCTTGGTGCATTTGGAGGATGGACAGTATTTGGTAGGATTGAGGTTGTTCTTTCGACGAATAAGTGCTGTTTTAACCATTTTTACTAATTCTGATGCAGCATCCTCCGCAGAGGGACTGCATTGTTGGATTTGGCTGCTCTTATGGGGGTGCTTACATCCTACAATCAAACAAATAAGAACTCTCCGGAAATTTCTGCTTTAGGTTTAACCTACTAAGTTCAAAAAATTATACCCGTTTACTGGTTAATTTCTTTCCATTTTCTGGATTATAAGTATTGAAAGTTGATTTTTGAATTTATTTTAATCTCCAGTACTATCAGATTAGAAGGTAAATTATAGCTGTTTTGCATACCAGCTCTAAAATTTCTTATAGAAGGAAGGCAAATCAACGAAAGAATTTAGCATATTTCGGTTCTTACGCCGGATTATTACATTTCTCTTTCATGTAGTTAAATTAATTTTATATTGTTGTTACTTCTTTTTCTTGTTTCTCGCTGAAGTTATATCCATATCAATTTATTTCATTTTAACTTGAACTCCATGTTTTGGCACATTTTGTATTTCAAAATGAAACAGCACATCCCAAGGTTCTTGGTAAATATTCGTTTGTGGAGAAACAGTAATTGGCCATGAATGGTTTATGAATTATATGCAGGCTGGAGCAAATTACTACTACGTTATCTTTAACAATATTGTGGTATATCTGGATAGGTATTTAAAAAGGTTCTTGTGATCTTAATGTAATAAGATATGGTGTTTAATCATTAAAAATAATTAAAGATAATGTAATTGGGTAGCTTATAGGGACGACCTATAGTTTTGCATGTGAGATGACTTCTCGTGGTGGTAATTGGTTTAGAAAGAAACAATGAAGACAGATTTTATGGGATCTTTATATTGATGATAAGACAGAAAACTAAACTGTTTCTGTTTTGCTGTGTATAAAGCTTCTTTATATTAACTAGGGATTTTGTCCTTAGAAAGTGAAAAAATATTTGCTACTAAGACTATGGATATCTAGGAAGTTCACTTATTTCTTATCCCAAGTAATATTATTGCAGGTACCTGAATATTGAAACTCTCCATTATTTTCATAATTTTTTTCCTTCATTATGAACTAATTGTTGGTATGAGGTTGCTATTAAAAGCAATAAAGCTGATCTTGTAACCCACTTACCTACTATTATATTAGGATAAGTTCGAGAGAAGAATTGGGTCAGTTTTGTATGCCCAACTTAGTAATTTTTTTCTCCTTGGACATGCTATACTTTGACTACTCCTGAGATATAATGTGAACATTTTGTTACGGTGGCAAGCTGAGTGAGAGATATTCTTCTATATCATTAGAACAAATCAACGAAGGCATA